ACGATGATGACGCTGAACTTACAACTCGCACACACGTCATTTTCTCCGACTCACTGTCTGGCGATGCTGCCAACGACACTAAACCCTGGGTCCAGTTAAAAAACGCTTCTCCTGAGGAGCTGGAAAAAGTTCCAGTACCCCCCCCGCCTCCACCGCCGCCTCCCCCACCGCCCAGTTTCCCAGGTCTACAGCCGCAGAAGAAACGGACAATCCCACCACCACCGCCACCACCGCCGCCACCTGGCCAGCCAAAAACCATTCAAGAGTTCATGGAAAAGATCAAAATCTTCCCCAAGTCCTCTCATACCAACGTGGACCCTCAGAAGTGCTTCGACATAGCAACCGCTCTGCATAACTCGAACAGCCGTGGAGCCAAGTTATTCGCAAAACGGCGCGCACGGGCTCAGAAATGGGAGTCCGAGGCGACCGAGGGTGAAGGGGGCGCTGTCAGTGGCTTCGGAGAAGGCCGTAACTCGCAGTCCGTCAGTCCAATGCCGTTGGCTGCGCAGGCGCCTGTGCTCGTCTTCCCGATGCTACATGTCGCTGGGCTGGCGAGTAAGCCACGGCTGGCCTCAAAGCTGCATCCAGTCGGTGAGGAGGCCGACCAGGCACAGACGGCGCTCGAAGTCGCACTCAGGCCCCTGGGGCCGGTGAGTCGGCAGTTAGCAAATCTGAAGGCACCGATGTCAGGCGGTGGTTCTGGCTCATTGATGCCAGAGATAGGTGAGGCCATCATTACAGCAGAACCTCCTGGCGAAGCGGTTGGAGGGCGCAAGATGCAACGGGCCTCTACAGACGAGTCTGGGCAACACATGGATCCAGAAAAAAGCTGTTTGATTTCGGATGGCCTGACAAACAAGACTCCAGTACCATTCTCTACCCGTAAGTGGCGTCTCCATCCTTAGAGCTATGGAGAGGGGTAAAGATGGACAGAATTGGAGATCGAGAGGGGAATATATGATGGTGAACAGAATAGGATGAAATAGTCGAAGTGGGAAGATGTA